TTGTGGGCCAGCCACCGGGGTGAGTCTTGGGTTGGTGGAAGGCTCGGTGTGGTAGGAGAAAGCAGCAGGTGCAGGTGTAAGATGCGCGCTACTATGTCATTGCGAGCATCATCTCGTGAAACAGCGCGGACCCCCGAGGCACGCGCGACGCCACCAAGCAGCCGACTGCAAACCCCGCGGGTCGACAAAGGCAATCAATGTCTTTGAGTCTTCTGTCACTTGCTGTTACATGGAAAGACATGAGTTATTCAATGCACAAGTTCATTCTGTTCCTTGTTCGAGACAGCCTGATCATGGTCCTCCACGTACTAGTAGCAGCACATGGTCTGTTTGATGCAGCCCTGATTTGTTTGTATGCTAGAATCATCTATTCGACACGTACCAATCTCTTGTCACGAGCCAGAACTTCCATAACACACCATCAAACGCAATCATGTTGACGGGGCTTCATGTATGGGATGTAGGTCACATCGCGCCTTGGTATTTCGCATGCTGTAGTATACACCACAATGTACAGTGTCCGCTCCAAAGAACCGTAAGAAAGTGTCTATTTCATGTTCGAACTGAGGTATGGCTGAAGTGCTACTCGTCGTCCTCGGCTGCCTCCATGTATCGCTGCTTGATGTCCTTCCATTGGCGCTGTGACTTGTATTAGCGAATGCCATGCCCCCGATAACAGTCTGACGTACGCCGCGGTTGAGACCGTCCCAGATCTTTTCTGAGCCTGTGTCGAACGCCCTGCACTGCTATCAGCCTCTCTCCTTTCCCCAGGTTCCTCTTCCGGATGCCGTGGCTTACAGTTGGAGACCGAAGGCGGAGCCGAAGACGGCGAACAACATGGTGGTGTTGCTGCGGAGGACCGCGCTGCAGGCGATGGTTAGTCTCGTTCGATCGAAAGTGTGCGCGAGGAGTGACTTGCTTGTAGACGGTGCCGATCATCTGCGCGGGACCATTAGCGGACATTCAAAGTCGTTATCCGATCAATTCACTTACGCCAGACATTTTGGAGGTGTCGAGAGGGCTGGGTTGACTGCGGAGAGGGATGTGGTGGTGCTTCACTGGCGATGTCAAAGGCTGAGGTTCGTCGACAAGATTCAAGCTCTCGCGTCACGGGGATTTGCGCTGCGCTAATTGGCCCGTCGTGCCTTCCGCTTTGACGTGAACTTTGTTTCCAACCCCACCACCGCTACCAGCTCAACCTCTGCGACACGCACCGATAACTCCTTAAATCTCCTCGCAGACGCCTGAAAAGACCTGGCGAGGTCTCACCAGGACGATTGGTGTGCTCCGGCCCGTTGCGACTGCCTGACATCCTCTGGCGCACCCTACCTCCACTCCACCTCACCGCAGGCGCGACCGACACAATGCCTTCAGTAGAGACTCCCGCAATCTCCAAAGCCGGCATCACTACCTCCGCATCCGGCGAACGCCATATCCCCGCATCCGTCCGTCCCGACGGCACCCTGCGCAAAGAAATCCGAGTCCGCCCAGGCTACCGCCCACCCGAAGATGTCGAACTCTACAAGAATCGCACTGCTGAGGGCTTCCGCAACAGAGGAAAGGCGGGTGTGCCAGGTGCCGAGGCAGTGAAGAGTGAGGAGCCTATTAGCATATCGAGTCCAGCTGCGAATAAGAACGCCAAGCGGAGGGAAGCTAGAAAGAAGGCAGCAGCCGCTGCGGGCGATGGGAAAGATGAGGACAAGGAAGCTTCCGCTGAGCCTAAAGATGCGTGCAAACCGGCTGAGAGTCAAGAGAAGGAGACTACGAAGCCCGAGCCTGAAAAGGTTGTCGACCCCGAGGTTGAGAAGGAGAAGGAAGCGAAGAAGCTTACCAAGAAGCTGAGGCAGGCCAGGGATTTGAAGGACAAGAAGGACAAGGGCGACAAGCTGCTACCGGAGCAGTTCGAGAAGGTCATCAAGATCAACGAGCTCATACGCCAATTAGAAGGCCTCGGCTTTGATGCGCAGGGAGAGAAGAAGGGAGAGACCTGAGGACACATGCAGCAAGAGCTACTCTATGGATAGCCACACAAATTCCCAAGCCGAGACAGCTGATTCTCTAGCATGAGTTAGCGATTCCACGACACCCGCGCGTTGGTGGTGCGGACGTGACGGCAGACGTCTTCAAACCCACGACTATACAGCGACGACATGCCGCCCGAGCGTACGTCGACCTCAATTACAAACAACGTTTGGCTTGGGCATATATCGCAACAAAGCTCTTCACTACTGCCATATTTGCTGCAGCCTACAGCGCTATCTACGCATGTAGTTGAAACGAGCCCTACACACCCACCGTTAGGACTTTGTCACAACCTTAGTTAACATGTATCATATAGTACACAAGAAACTCAAATCAACTGCGCAGCTTATTCGACTCGCAAGTCCATTAGTGTGCTTTGACCGACCGTGATCTTCCGCACCACGCATACCGCCTACCGCATTGAAGCAAAAAGAGGGCCATGAGTTCGAGAGCCGCCATTTCAGATTTTTGGCAAAAAAGAACAAAAACATACAACAGCGGGGATTCGCTTCTGGTCACCCACGAAGCTACTAGCCAGCCGGTACACTGCTTGTATCTGGCTGAGCGGACGGGAAGCCTAATTCTCAGTGTCCTATGGTCGTATGTGACGGGATGAGAAAAGAAATGAATAATATACTTGACGTAAACTTCACACCGCATGGAAAACCCATAACCGCGTTTACACACACATCTCGTTCAACAGAAAAGTTGAACAGATACCCTGAAGCCTACAGCACCATAAGATCTTCACTCTATGGGTTGTCAAGGTAATGTGGCCTCCTCAGCCTCTTCAATAATTGGGCTTTGTAGACATAGGTGTATGATGTCCCCCTTGAATGGGGTGTATGTTCTTTCGTGCGATTTCAGTCTAATCCCTTTCAATAGTATTGACTGCCTACGTATCGCTCGATGGCCTCCCCGCCATACTTTTGCATCCCTGCGCGTTTCAGCCCTTCAGACGTCTTTGGCTCTGGTACCCATACTCCCGTCTCACACGCGTAGTAAATTCTCCTGTGCTGTTCATCCTCCGGTCCTTCATCACCCCACTCCGCTTTCTGGCCCGGTGCGTGATATGAAATGTGCAGTTTCCCCGTCTTACCCGTCATCTCAGACGTAAGCATGAAGGACTCGAGAACGGGCATGTAAGCAACAGCTTTTGCGAGCGCGCCGAGAAAAGGATCAAAGGTTTCTGGGTCGGGGTGTTGCCGGAAGTCTTGCCAGCTGAACTCGCGCGTATCGACACTCCCAACAACGCCGCGCACGGGGTCGTCGTGGGGGTCGTCGGCCGGTGTTGGACCAGTGAAGTACCATTTGCCTGATGGAGCGACCATGTCAAACGTGATGTCGAAGGACTTCAAGTGTGGCCAAGACGGTGGCGTCGCGTTTTCGTCTGATGGCCAGAATAGCGTAGGGTCGACGTGCGCACTCAGGGTAAGGGTGGTAAGACATTGTGAGAAGGTTCGGATTGATGAACTGAACGGGTCGTATGTGTAGCCTTCTGGCACAATGCTCGGAACTGTATACCTCTGATCTGAAGGAGTGGAGTGTACAAAGACAATATCGGCAGAATGGAGTGAGCGGAAATGTGCCGGCGAGAGCTTATTAGCAAATTCAGCGCGCGCCTCACCGCGCGCCTTGGGAGATGTCGCCGGTTCCCACTCTGGATCATAGTCTGAATCCAACGAGTCCTGATCTGACCCCGCGTCAGAACCAGCCTCGTAGTCTGGAAACTCCCAGTCCACTGTCCTGAGCTCTGGCATTGTCACCGCTAGATCTGGTGCAACGCTTGGCGCAAGGCTTCGCACGCCCGTACGCTCGATAGTGAGGTGCTGCAGATTAGACAACGTAGGCAGATTGCCGGGTTCAACAAGGCGCAGGTATGACTCTGCCCAACGAGCGGATTGGATATCTCTGCTGAGGCCATGCTCAATCTCGAACTCATCCACTTCCCGGGCGTCGGTCGGGGACGTAGCTCCCACAATTATAAGCCGCACTCCATTCTTCACACCGTTGTCTTCCCAGGTTCGCAGCACCGTGAAAAGATCGCTTATAGCTTTTGTAAATGCCTCGTTGTTGGCATGTTGATCAAGTCGTGACTCCTTCTGTTCGTATGCTTCTTCCGGATATGTTGGCAATACCGCTTCGAAACTAATCCAGGAAAGGTAGTTGCGGCGATTTCCTGTTACGATCGACTGAAGCGATTCCAGCTCATCGCTTTTGATGCCTAGACGGTGAAATGTAATGGTCTCGACTGCTTCCTTCCAAGTGCGATTGAGGATCGCGAGGCAAGGAAATTGAGATGGCGAACCATCGGGCTCGAAAGATTGTCCTATCGCGGAAGCCCGCTGTTCCTGGTCTGGATACCGCTCTGCAAAACACACAATACGGTTGATCAGCTCTTGTGGTAGTTTGTCCATGGCGTGAATGGGGTAGGGGACAGAGCGCACCATTGTTGCGGGAACGCTGTTGAGTACATAAGTACGCGGGAGTACCGAGGCGCTAGCAGGGGTTCTACCTAGGTAAACCTTGGAACAGACTAACGGTCTGCCCGTTCGCTGCAGCGGAATCACACCGAGCTATGCTGATGCAAGGTCTTGTTGCGCAAGCCCGGCGGGTGTTTCCAAAGATGCTAACGTGTAGGTCTCCAAAGATAGTCACAGGGCACATGCATTCCAAGTCAAGAAGACGAGGCTTCATATACAACAGTCCAGTGCGATAGTTATTTCTGAACAAGCGATGGCCGACGAGAATCGTCTGACACCAGCACAACACCGTCATTTTCAACTTTCCGAGCAAATCAAAATATGGAAAAGGGAGGCTTCAGTTGCGGCACCAGCACTTCCAATATATAGGGAAGGCGTAATGAGGTATGACCTCTGGCTACCAAGAAGCGCGTTGTCTGCGCAGATAGCTAAATGTTGCCGCAAGAACAACATTACAAGAGACGGGTGTAGCATGTCGCTTTTGTACGTGTTTGTTCATGCGGCTACACCGACACAGTACCAGTAATCCTTCCAAAATGAAGTGCCACAAGCATTGCCATTATCCAAGACTGCATTCCACGCATATAGTTGCGCGTCGGATACTCCGTTTCGTTCAGCAAACAGCTATGATAAGAGTCAGTCTAGAAGCGACGCAGAACCGGATATCGTGGACTTACAGCACACCAGTCTCCTTCCTGCGCCTGAGCAGCCTTGTTGCATTCTTTGATCGCGTTGTTTGCTTGATTTGGCGTTGGTATGACGAAAGGACTGGGAGTAGGCGACGGCGGGGGAGCCGATCTGCTCACGCTGATCGAATCCGAAGTGCCCACACAGTATGCCGATCCCTGCCAGAAGTTGTCGCGGCAATCATTCGACACGGCGGGATTCCAGGCATAGAATTGCTCCAAGGTGATGAAGTATTTGTTTGCAAGAATCGAGCAATCATCCCCTTTCTCGACGATGTGCCATCGAACACAGTTTGCAGGCTGTCCAGTGTGCGTTGGTGCCCCAGGTCCCGGTGGAACTGTACTGCTTGGGGCAACGGAGGCCGAAGTAACGCTCGTAGCGGGCGGTGGGGCATTGGGCGACTTGACGCAATATGCCGTTTCGGTCCAAAGATTCGCACACGTTGAGCCTACAGCCGGATTCATCTTAAAGAATTGAGCCAAGGTGAGATCGAACAAAGCCAGAACATCCTCGCAAGTGAAATCCTCAGACACGTCCCTGAACTCAGTGCAGTTCGTATCATACCCTTCTCTGATCGGAAATTCCAGCGATGGGCCTACTTCGGGCTCGGCCTTTGGCGGCTCGAAGTAGAACCTTCCACAATAGCGGACTCCAGGCTCGAAGCTGCAGGTAGGCGCTTCGGTATCGTTACCGAGTGAGGGGTTCCAGGTGAGCAGTTCGGACATCTCCACACCATAGACATCTGCAGCCAAATCGCACTTGTGACGATAAAGAGTTCCTGTTATGTCGCTTTCCATCTGTGATGCATCGAAATACTGGTAACAATCGTCTCTTGTATCAAGCGCAAGGCTCAGCTGCATGGGCGAGGGTGTTGTCGTAGCGGGCTTAGTGGGCGTAAACGTGACTTTGGTAACTGGTGAGTCACAATCAGTATGCGGCGCACAAAGTGCAAAGTGAAGTACTTACATGGTACTCCCGAAGGACCGGGAGTATGGTAGCCAGGTCGTCCAAAGTAGGTGTTAACTTTGGCTGGTCAGCCGCAAACTTCGATTATCTAGCGTATCAATATACTCACTGTCTCCTACTGGCGCTACACAATAGCTGATATCTAGCAGCAGATTGGTGCAATTCGCGTTGATGGATGGGTTCAGGAATACGAAATCAGCCAGTGCTATCGCATACCTCAGTGTCACGAGGTTGCAATAGTCTCCGCCCTCAACATTGTACCACTGCCCACATTGTCGGTTCGATTCGTCCTTCGCATTGGTAGGCACGGGTGCTGCGCTGACGGCTGTGCTTGGTGCCAGAGGAGGCATAGCTGGGGGCGTGACATATGCTACGCCAGGATTGGACACGCAAATAGAAGTCCCGTTCATCTTGTATAAGTTATGACAGCCAGCGTTAATGATCTGAGAGTGTCAGAATAATGGTAAAGAAGCGAGATCTGCGCACTGTGCACCTACCGGATTCCAGGCCTTCAACTGCGCGATGGTGATATTATTGGAGCTAGCCATGATCTCGCAGGTATCGGCAGGCTGTACTGTATAGACTTTGCACGTGTTATTGATGCACAGTTTGCCATTTTGTGGAAAATTGGCGCAGTAGGCAGTGAGAGAATTGTCTGAAAGCAGCCAGGCAGTCCCTATGCCTTGGGACTTGGATATCTTGTAGCAGTCATCGCCGGTCTGGATATCGTATTCCTTGCCACTGCAGACCGTCGATGTCGGTGTGGGACTAGCGACTGGAAGCCTGTAAAGAGTTAGTGTGGAGCTGCGAACATATATATATGTATGCTCACTGCGGGAAGGGCAAAGACGAGATAGACAATGGGTAGCCCGTCACACCACAGCTTGATGTCTTTGACTCGTACAAGGAACTCTCTCGAATCTGAGGTCCGTCGTAGTACGGACTGCCAGCCTGCTTCTGCAGATTCTTGATGAAACACAAATCGCAGGGTCCGGAGGCTTGCACGCCGCTTGGTGGCTCGGTGTCCCAGCCTATTGGGCTCTCTGGTCTGGTTAGCATAATGTTGGGATTGGAGTATCGGTTTACCTACGTCCTGGATCTGCTTGCATGGCTGCAGCAACCGCAACTACATTACACCAGCGACCCGCGTCCTTGAGGCAAACAAGATCGTGGTTGAATCGCATAACATTGGCAATTATGTCCAGTGGTGCACCGTCAATCTCATCGTATGCCGTCCAAGTTTGCCCGGTACAAGCTGTGGCAATTCTTGCTTCGTACTGCTCAAGGGCAGTAACGCAGGCGGTTGTGCATGCTTTTTCCAGCACGGAGGGGGGGTAGTAATATCCAATAGCAAAGGTAGCAACGGTAGGAGGACATTGTTCAACGTCTGTAAGAAGGGCCGTCGCACAATCACTGGTCAGATTGGATGGGATAGTATTGTTACTGAAGAAGGGTATCGCAATTGTCGATGGGAGATACCAAAGGGGTAGCAAAAGCCGCAGCAACATCCTGGGACTATGCGAACGCATTCTTGTGTAAGAGTCAGTATCGCCCTGTGGGAGGTCTGCGACGGTCCACGAAAGACGTACTCACAGGAATGACTGCAACCAAGAGCGACGATGCAGGATGCTTCAACTGCATTCTACACCGAGGCAAGAAAGCATGTACAGCCAGCCGCACTGCATGGGGCACCTAATCGCTCGGCACCTGCATCCCAAGGGTCCATTCTCATCATCCATCTGGCGCCGGTGTGGGTCGTGTAAGTCTCGCGGAGTATTGGCAACATGTTAGACCCCAAATCAGTTCAGTAACAGGCTAAAAAGCGGGTCCTGAAGATGCGGCGGGCGCGGCCCGAATCCGGACGGAAGGCCTGATGCCAAGCACGAACTATGAAGCTTGGCACCACTCGGAGCCGGAAGATCACCTGCAGTGAGGTGCCAATTATTTACGCCCGGCAGACGTTCAGCATTAGTTTAGGGGTAATGTCATGTCATCTCCACCGCTTCGATTTTGTTCTCCGGCCCAAGACTGTCATGGTTGCTTTGATAGTACGACCGCGCTTCAGCCCTGGGCAATTCTTATCTGAGCGTCGCTCCCGTGGCAAAAAGGACAGACTCCCGAGTTCGGCCAGCGCTGAGAACCGCCTCTACATTTCAGCACTGCGCGCTGAAGATTGCTGCCATACCGGAAGTACCTGAAGACAAGATAGCTCACTAAACCTTACAGTCGGGACCTCCGGACGGCAACTGGCACCCAGTCAGCGTGACTTATGTCCTTCCTACTTAGGTAATGCCTAGGTAGAAGCTGATATCATTTCTTGATGTCTTAGCGAGCGACCCCGAAGGCGCCAATGCGGAAGAGCGCAAATTTAGATGGGATGTCATATCTGGGCCGCATGGTAAACTTCCCGCGGCATCTCTCCCAGTACAGATCTGGAAATTTCAGTCCGTTGGCCTGGCCATGCATGCAGGGGCGCGAATTGCACGCCTACTACTCGCCGCCACGATGATCGCTGTTATTCAGGCGTCCATTGGATCCACGGCAGGTCCAAATGGAAACCTTGATGCCAACGTACCTAAGCTGTGGGTACCGGTAAGATAGACAGAGTCCATTTTCCCACGGAGCTTCTGAGAACGCTCTTTTCCAGTCCTTGATCTTGGTTTCTTTCCTACTGTTTTCAGTGGAATTAGACGCCGAGATGTCCAGATTGACTTCCGCGTTCGCACGGTGGGCCGTTGTCTTCTGTGTGCTGCTCATCACTGCTACAGCGCATCAGTCGCATGCACGATTTCACCACAAGAGATCTCACGCGCCACCAACTTGCGTCAATCCAATCCAGTATGTAGATGAACATTGTTAGAAGCGGTGCATTCGTAGCTAACTTCAGTCCAGTCCGTTTGACTATTCTGCGAAAGAAAAGCATACAGAACGTGCGCCTGTTTGTCCGCATCTGGCCCCACGGGCTCTACAGCCAAGAGCTGAAGAAGACTATTCATGCTCTGAGTCTAAGCCATGCAAGAACGGAGCCTGCTGCCCAAAGGCTACCGGATATTGTAACTATGGTGAAGAATATTGCGGCACAAACGGTCAAAGTCCCAACGATGTTTGCTGGTCAAATTGCGATGCCAAAGCAGAATGTGGCAAAGACGCTAAGATACCTGGTGCCAAATGTCCGCTCAATGTTTGTTGTTCAGAATTTGGGTATGCTAGTCAAAAGATTCTCAATGATACCAGCTAACACCCCACAGCTTTTGCGGCATGACGGAGAAGTTTTGCGACAAAGGTACCGAAGACGAACCAAAATGCCAAAGCAATTGTGAGCAGCCAGGGTCTGGTGGCTCTGGCGGCGATGTTCAGAAGATAGTGATCGGTTACTATGAAGCTTGGGCACATGACAGGAAATGTCAAGGCATGGTACGTCAGACCAGCCAAGAGCGAGTGCAACATACTTATCTTATTCGTAGGACTTCAAGAATATCCCAACAGGCGCACTTACTCATCTCTACTTTTCCTTCGGTTACATTTCGCCCGGTACTTTTGATCTGGTTCCGATGGACGACCTTAGCCCCGATCTATTCTCGCAGTTCACAGATGTCAAGAAGTCGAACCCCGGCTTGAAGACAGTCATTGCTCTTGGCGGTTGGACCTTCAACGATAACGGCACCGCAACTCAGCCGGTCTTCAGCGACATGGTTAGCACTGCTGCTAATCGCGCCTTGTTCATTAAAAAGTTATTTGCTTTTATGAGACAGTACGCATTTGACGGTGTGGACTTCGACTGGGAGTATCCCGGAGCAACCGATCGAGGGGGTAAGCCTGAAGACGGCAGAAACTTTGTCACGTTCTTGAAGGAACTTAACGAGGAGAACGACAAGCAGCTCATGCATTATGTTGTCTCCTTCACTGTTCCTACTAGCTTCTGGTATCTGAGGCATTTTGATCTGAAAGCTGTGGATTACGTCGACTTCGTCAACGTCATGAGCTATGATCTTCATGGAGTAAGTCAAGCCAAATATTTGCCTCCCGCTTCTACACTCGTGTATGTCGGAAGGTCAGACGCCGAGATGAAGAGGTGACACACCTTTGCGGGATTGCCCTTCCCACAAGCTGCTTGTAAGCTGGTCTGGGTGTCGGATGCAGCGATGATGTGAACATCTTATTTCGAGCAAGCGCTAACATATGTGTCTAGATCTGGGACTCAACGAACCCGATCGGTAATCATATATATGGGCATTCGAACTTAACCGAGATCAAGTTAGCCTTGGATCTTTTTTGGCGCAACGACATCAAACCAGAGAAGCTCAATCTCGGGCTGGGGTTCTATGGTCGCAGTTTCCAGCTATCAGACCCCTCTTGCTACCGACCTGGCTGCAATTTCAAGGGCGGAGCATCTCCTGGTCCCTGTTCCGACAACTCAGGAACTTTGACATACAAAGAGATTCAACAAGTGATCAAACAGCACAAGATCAGTCCTTACTATGGTAAGCAGCCACGACGGAACCAGCACATGTGATAGATAGGCTAATCGCCTTTTGTGCTTTTAGACAAGGAGGCTCAAGTCAAGTACATCACCTGGAACCAAGATCAATGGGTGTCGTATGATGACAAAGACACATTCAAGGCGAAGATCGACTTTGCCAACAAGCTAGGCCTCGGCGGACTACTCATCTGGGCCATTGATCAAGACACGGATGATTTGGATGCTCTCAACGCCGTCGTGTCTCCAAAATCTGTCAAAGCCCTCGCGATGACTGCCGATGACGCTTCCTTTTGGGACGATGCGACTGTACCGGATTGCTATGTCACTGACTGTGGCGGTACTTGTAAGGCTGGTTTCTTCAAAATCGAACAGCAACCATGCGGTGGCGCGAAGCCTGTCACGCGCAGGTCCAAAGGCAAGGACAGCCAGCTGTGCTGTCCAGTTTCCAGTGCACCAGATCCCGACAAGTGCCACTGGCGCGGCGAAGCACCTCCATGTAATGGCCGTTGCCATGACAATGAGGTACTGTTGCAGATGAACAAGTGGGGTGATGGGAAATACTGTGAAGACGGAAACAAAGCATATTGCTGCGAGTCACCTGCAGCTAAGGGTCATGACTGCTACTGGGCAGGCGTCGGCAAGGATTGCAACGGCGACGACACGACGATGACCTTTTCAGGCACATTTCTGAGCACAATCGCCGACATTGCAGACGCGATGACTTTGATCGATAATGCTCTGGTTGATTGGCTCGAAGCAGTTGACGTTGACATGCAGAAACGATACTGCTGCCCAAAGAAAGACGCCAAGAACTGGAAGAACTGCCGGTGGTACGGAGAGCCCGGATCTTGCTTCGACAACCATTGCCCGGTCGGAAAGCAAGTGCAACTCACGGACAGCCCGTATGGTTTTGGGCAATCCTGCTTCCCTCGACTGGAAAGAAACAGAGTCTACTGCTGCGACCCAACCGATGGTAAACAGCTATTCCTTCCGGTACCACTCGATCGGCTATTCAGCGATCCCCCGACTGGAGACGACGTCGATACGGACTTCGAGCTCAATGTGGACGACACCTTTGGTGGACAGGGCGACAAGACCGACGATGACCCTTCCAATGCTGCATTTCAATTCGTTGTACTTGCATCGCCTAAAGAATTGCAACATTCTCTCGATAAACGCGATGGCTCTCATTGGGAACTGTTCAACTGCCAAGGCGGGCCGAGTGAAGAGGAGCAAACCATCCAGATGTTTTGCATTGACGGCTCAGAGAACAACAATTGTCAAAACATCGGACTTGGACACGGCGTACCCGGTACCATCCTGGAAATGCCAGCTGGCTGTGGAGCCGGTCGCTATGCCGTCGCGAAACATATGGTCCCTGCTGTCAATCAAACAATTCCACACCATCTTCGGAAGCGAGCGTCACATATGCCAATGGTCTACGATCTGACTTTCGACTACAACTTCAGGCGCGTTCCCCGAGATTCTGGTGATACCCAGATGAGGATAGACTTTTCCAACAAGAACGACTACTGGGACAACGTTGTCGCAGCTGCGAGCACAAAGCGTAAATCTAAACGCTCCTTGTCTGACTTTGACGGCAATCATAAGAGATGGCTCGAAGAGGAG